CGCTCCGGCCCGCCGGGACCCCGCGCTGCAAGGGACGGGGCAACATCCCCGGGAGCAGGCTGCAGCTGGGAATCCCGGACGGGGTGGTGGTTCGGGAGGGCTGCAGTGAGTACATGCACATAGGAGAGGAGCACTGGAATACAGCCAGAGCCCAAATCCTTGAGTCTTAGCAGCTGAAAGATGTCAAATGCTCTCCTTAGGCTGAAAAGCGTTTGGCACGCTTCCGGAGTGTGTCAGGACAAGGCTGGCACCATGGTGCTCCAGGAACCGCGAGGAAAACCTTAGGATTACAGCTGTAACGTGGCCACTTCCTCACTTACTGCCTTCAGTTTCAAACCTCCCAACCCATCTGAAACGGAGCGATGTCCCAGCAGGATGCACTTAGCACATCTGATTGCTTAATTATTATCTGCCTTTCCACACAGCTCGAATCACAGCTTCACCTGCTCATGTGGCACCCACATGTGCTGTCCTGAACATCAGAGTGTGAGCGGCTTGGGATCACTGCCACTCTGGTATCTTCTTCTTCTTCTGCCCTTGTTAAAGCTCCTCATTCCCCTAGGTATGGAAATGTAAATGCATTCACAAAATAACTGGGCAACTAGCAGAACCTTTGTTAACTGCTTTGAAAGTGAAAAACACCTTCTAAATGGAACAGTGTAAAAAGAATCTCTGTGCAATAGCTAAAGGTTTCCCAAGCAAACTAAGTACAGTTTTAAAATTTTTTATGAACTTCCCATAATTTAAAGCCACATGAACTTTAATTAAGTGCTGTCAGGATGGCTAGTAAATAAATGTCAATAAAAAACCATCATAACTGTTCTCTCAGGACTGTGTCTGAAAAAACATTTTTATTCTGAAAAAAATCCACTCCAAGTGTTTTTGCTTTCATTATGCAAAGAATACATCCCCTATCATCATACTATGTTATTAAAAAAAAGTTATTAGGTGTTTATCTACATTTCCAGTGTAAAAAATATTGAGCTGAAAGAAGCCTCAAGACAGGGTTGGAGATAGGAAGATGTAGGCAGAAAAAAAGGTTTTGAGAAAAGCTGTCAGTAAATTTATGTTCAGCAAAAGAATATGGGCTAGGAGAAAAGGCAAGTGGGAAATTTCCAGGAATTGGGTATTTGCTGTGTGTACTAATTACATCAGTTTGCTTCTGGTTATGTTCTGTAGCAGAGAACATAAGCAATGTTCTTGGGATGCAGCTTCTGTGTTTGATGCTGTGGCTTTGCATTCTTGCTTTAATTCAGTCATTCGAGGTGAGGGGCCAGAGGGCAGATAAGCTTTTTCCAAGCAGCTGTTAACAGGGTTTGCAATGTCTGCTTAAGATGCTACCTGAGCAGAAGTAGAGTGATTTAATAAACTGAGAGCTGTCCTGGGGCTTTGCATCCTTTCCCATCTCTGCCACTGCTTTCCTGCTGAATCACATTTTTAGGCTACTATCTGTTTCTTCTGTTAAATGCACACAGTAAGCATTGCAGAAGCAATCAGTAGTGTATTTTCTTTCTAGGCAGAAAATGTGGTGTATAATAACTGGAAATTACTTTTATCTGGGATGTTCTAGAAGAGACGGCATTGTCTCCTCTCATCCTTGCAATAATATAAGGATGGTGTTAGTATAGTTTTTTTAAATAATTTCTGCTTGGTTGTTTCAATCAATTCAGAATAAATGTGCATCTATATCCTTTTGGGCCAATTTAGAATGCTTCTTTCATAATGTTCTCTCAAAGAACTTGGAGATATATACGAAGTGAAGTCCCTGTCATGGCAGGGGAACCTGGCAATCAGGAATCAATTGGTCATAGAGCACCAAAATTAGAGGTAGGGAGTGAAAAAGAGAACTTAAAGAGTCAGTGTTTTGGAGAGCAGAAGAAGGTGTTCAGAAAGCATTCCAAAACTTAAGGGGGCAGCTTTACACACATACTTATCTTAGAAAAATACATTTTAAAATTAGTAGACTGTTCTCTATTTTCTTATCAATAGTGTATTCAACGTTTTAAAGTGGTTGCATGTCAAGATTATCACAAGTGTCCACCCTGCTGTCTAATTGTGCTGACTAGTAATTTCTAATCTGATAATAAGCAGTGAATTGGTTAACAGAGTTGGTAGTTAAATGTGCATGTTTTGCTTCAAGGCTGACACCCTGGCAAGATGAATGGGGGAAGTTAACTTGCTTGATGCTATTGTTTTAGCTGGTGAGGATGAGGACTCCACAAGATGAAAGTATGTTGGTTTACATTGTCAAGGCTATCTTCACAACCAGAAGCTAGAAACTTCCTTTATTATGAGAAAACAAGCACATAAATTCTGGGAAATAGAATAAAACACTCCATTAATTTGCATGAAAGCCTTAAATCTTTCAGATTCATAGATTTGCTACCTGTGGTAATTTTTTTCTTCTGCATTTGGAATAAGAGTTTGTTGGGATCAGACAGCATCATTACTTGCATCCACTGATGTTCTATGACTAATAAAAACAGATACAGTAGACATATTTTCTTAGAAATAAAGCTTTCTGGAAACGGTGCAGAAACAGAAAGAAAGTTTAACAGAGTGCTACCCTGTTCTATTGAAATCCATTCAGAAAAATAAATGAGGTTCTATTTTTGGCTTCCTTTGCCTTGTGGAAGGGTATAGGATAACTAATTTGATCTAGCTCTGCACCAGCTTCTCAAGTGTGAAACAAGAATAACTGAGTTGTGCATATTTTCTAAAATGTTGAGGAAATACAGATGAAAAATTATTATGTAATCCCTAAGCACCAGATTGGGTGACCTTTATTCATATTGAAATAATGAGAACTATTTACAGAGTAGCCTACTGTTCACTGTGAGTAAGGGTGAGAGAATCCAGGCTGGTTTTGTCTTGGCCCAGAAAATACTTCTGAACTGCTGTTTTCCTTTGGTTTTACAGTTCCACTTTCATAAGATTGAAGGGACCTGAAAATGAATGAAATTGCAGGTTAGTGAATGATACTGTATGCTTGAAGATATCCACACTAACAATCTTTGACTGTATCTTCAATTACCAGTATCTCTGTTGTAATATCACTGCTGGGATTTTCAGAAAAATAGCATGTAATGTCAACTCTGTACTTAAACTGTAACCAACAAACCCTGGGGAGCTATCAAGTTATCAGTCTTTAGTACTGAAAGCATAACACCGGTTTTAAGTATAGCTACTCAAAATGGGTCAAGTTACAGCTGGGTTGTGTTTTAGTGAACTAAAATTAATAAGGTGTTTTTAGCCAAGCAGAAAAATCCTTAAGTGTAGATATTTGCAATCCAGTTCCAGATTCTATAAGTTAATTTTTATTTAACCTGTGAAATCTAGGTGTGCACACACATACATACAGAAAAACCACCTGTGACCTGAAGTTCTCAGTACTTTGTTGCCCATAACCTCAAGCTGGAACAGAAACTCTAGCACTTCTGCATTCAAAATCTGGATCAGCTGCTAAGGTCTATGATGTTTGGGTTTGAACTTGTGTACTTTAGAAGTAGGTTATACACATTCTGATCTGAATCTAAATAAGTGATAATTGGTAGGAAATAAGACAAAACTGGAATGTTTGTATTTCAGATGTATCCATAAATGTTCTCTCTTTGTAAAGGAAAAAATATTTAGAGATCATGATGTAAGACCTAAATGTGAGCAAGTCACTTCTGAAGCAGCAGTGGAGGAAACATCTTTGCTGGCCTGAGCAAAACAATTAATCATTGTCCTAAGCACTCTCTAATTAAATGTGTAAAGAGCAAATTGCTTGTCAGATCAGCTACAAAACTGAGAATTGAAGGCTTGTAGCAGCCTTCATGTTTCACTTTCATGCAGTGACTATTTTTCTGTGATTCTGTAAAGATCTCTATTTTCTCTCCAGTTCCACTGGTAAATCACCAAGAGACAGGAGCAGTACAGCCCCAAATGATTGGTCTTTTTTGTCAAATCACATGAATTATTACTGGGCCATTAATTCTAAGTGAATCTAATCCCAGTTCACTATTGTTTTTGAAAGAACTAACTTCTGTTCTTCAGCCTATTTAGCAAGATTGCCACCTGCTACCTATATGAACTCTGTGACACATGCTTCAGCTAAAGATTCAGACAACACACACTAAGCTTGCTTTTGTGCTGTTCACTGAAAAGTAAAAAAATCAAAAGATATCTAAATGAATTACCACACTACTAATACAACCTTTAAGAAAACAGAGAAAATGCTAACCAGGTTTTTCCAAAGTTGAAATTTTTCATACAGAAGGAAGGGATATAAAAAAATACTTAGGACTATTGGCTTTACGTACGTGTATGTAATCTTTAATTTAAAAATTAAGAAGTTCAGAACTTCTGACAGGGAACAGAGACACAATTTCCCTTTCCAAATTGTGCTTTCTAAAATGTGAATAGCAAAGGAACACTAGACAGAGTTTTAGGATGGTTCTGCACTTAGTCTTGAGATGGATACATTAAGTGGTTTTGGTTTTTAATCAGAGATGTTACTTCAGTCTTCCTGATGGCAAATTGAGGCACAGAGAGACTAAGGGGCTTTCCCCAGATCTTAGAGGACATGAGTTAGAGAAGGCTAAAAGATGTAGAATTTATGGTTAACTTCTAAAGTGCTCTATAGCTTTCCTTTGGATAAATCAGTGCCAGCAATGAATTAAGCTGCTAAATGTTTATTTGAAAATCAAGCCAAACATTATTAATTTAATTTGATGAGTAAAATAAACCCCAGAAACCCAGAGTAAATCTGGAATTAACTTTATTTTGATGTGCATTTTGTGGAAAGGAAGAGCAAGATTGTTATTTTTTTCCCATCAGAAACATCTGTGTACTTTGCCAATATCTGCCTTGGCAATACTTTACTAGTAATGTATATATTTTGCCTTTTAGAAAACTGTTTTCCCAAGGCTGAGAAAAACTGTGAGCAAAATTATGTGTCAGGAAACATTTAAACATGAAAATCTGAAATATAATTCTGATTTGATAAATTCAGTGTGAAAAGACACACTACTTAGCAATTCTTAACAGACATCTTTAACCTAAAAATATTATGTTGGTCGGGGGGAAAATGAAGGCAGAAATAAAAATTCACACAACTGAAAACAAGAGTAATAGCAATGAGTTTAAAACTCTGGGGAAATATGGACAATTGATACAGGAAGCTGAAAATATCTTTGAAAAACTCTGTAGAGGGTGGAGGGAAATAAGAAACAATACATGAAGTATATAAAGAAAAAGTGAGATCTTAGTAATGGTTTATATCCTGTTCTCAGCAAGGATAGTAAAAACATGGATCACAATGTGCAAAGGGCAGATTTGCTCATTCATCTCTGTTTTGTCAGAAAAGGCGGGAAGATCTATTTCTACCTTAAAGCTAATGAGAAGTATTTTATATCCCATCAGTAGCTAGAAATAATGCTGAACTTTTATTTTATTTTATTTTTTAAATGGGCAAGATCAGACAATAGATTTGATGCAAGCTAAGGTAGTTTATTTCAGCATACTAATATTTTTTTTTAATTACAGAATGCTGGGGAAATTGCAGAAAACTTCATTACTGCCAATATTTTAAATAAAAATCTGTTAAAAATCATACAAAAGACTGATTAAAATGTAGGTAGTAAAGAAATAAGTATAGAGGAGGTATAGCTACAGAGGGGAAAATATTTCTAGCATGGTCCTGAGAAGATCTTTTCTTTCTCCAATACCATGCAGCATCTTTAGCAAAGCCCAGAAAATGTGTGATTATCAGTAGGAAAAACAAGTGGCAAAATCATTTGATAAACAATTAATGATGATGAAAGAAGAATAAGCTAATGTGGAGTACTCATTGCAATAAATTCATTAAAACACAGGCAAATACAGGCCAAAGGGAAAAGACTTCATAGCAGGTATTATTGGAAAACTGACTCCTCTAGCAAAGACTTAAATACTAATTTGAAGGTAAGCTACAAGAATAAAACTATGATTAAAATATAAGATACAATTCTTTTATGTCTAACCAATGGCATACGGATGGAGATGATGATACTCCATCTGTGTATGTCATTAGTGACAACATTCCTGGGATACTCTGTCCAGTTCTAGCATTTATGCTTTGTCAAGGACCTTTACAAACTAGAAGGGGCTCAGAAGGAAACTGCAAGGAAGGTATGAGGTCTGGGAATATGCTTCATCCTGAGACACTGAAGGAGTTCAGTTTGTTATAGGCTAGAAGGAGACTTCATCATAATCTGTAAGGCCATTAATGGAAATTATGTTCTTGACCAGTTTTGTTACAAATGAAGTCTAATAAGGTATTTTAAATTAATTTTAATTTTTTTAGTTATTGTTGTAACTTGATCATAATCCAATTAATGTTACAGATGGAACTACTGGAAATTTAATTTTGACAGTTCTGAGCTGGAAACAGAACACAAATATCAAGTGATAGTAGCTAATGTTTGGAACAAATTCTTACATAGCAATGTGCTGAATTTTCCATCTGTTGCAGTTCTTTAACTGAGCTGTAACATATCTACCAAAAAGACACCCAGAGTAGAACCGCTAGTACAGCTGGTGCAGAAATTGCTGTGTCTTGGTCTATAGTTTGTATAACAGGTCAAGTTAGAAGATGAAAAGTCACCTCATGGGCATAAAAATCAGCCAGGAAAAAGTAACTAGGGTATACATGGGGGTGAAAAAAAAACACTCATGTACTGTAAATACCAGTATCATAATAAAAAACACACTGGAATGGGAAAAATATGTTAAATAATAGAAGAAAGTATCACTGGTTTTAATGCTTCGCTAACAATTAAAAAGCCATATTTCTGCTACTTAGCCTGCCTTAACTTACTTACTCTGTACAATTCAAGTCATTTTTGCTAAGTACAGTATTGTCTAATTTTCTTTGCAACTTGTATTGATGAGTGAGTTTGAATTTAGTTTAAAGCAAATCAAACACAGTGAACACAGGAAAAATTATGGAATTTTATATATGGTTGTATGCACCAAGGAGGCACAGAGCGCTTTTCTTCAGCTATTCTAAAAAGAGCTGGAGTGCAGATGAGTCTAACAGAAAAGAAAAAAACCTTATACAAATGTATCACATATGTGTTTATGGTCTTCTGTCCTTCTTAACACAGGTTCTCCACAGGCACTTCAGCCTATTCCACTGCTAAATGGCTATATTAACAGCTACAACAGAGCAAGGAAAGACTACAGGTATTAAGACTTTGAGGTTTGTTCTTCTTATTTTGGTTGGTTGGTAGGTTTTGGTTATGGATTTTTTCTTTGTTTGTTTGGTTTTGTTGGTTTGGTTTGGTTTTGTTTTTCCCAAACAGAAAGCATTTAGGTCTGTAATGAGAAAGTGCCTTATAGCAGCAATGGGACATTTATTCATTTAAGAAACATAAATCCTCCAGTGTTATCTAGCAATCTTTGGGAAGGCTCATAGATTCAAATGCGCATTATATTTTGTGCTTCATACATATGGGCCAAAATGCAACTCTTTTGGCTCAAATATGTACATGATGTTATCAGATCGTTGTCTTCATCTCTACTGAAATGGGCAGGCTTCTCTCCAGTGACCAAAACCATATATGGTTTCATGCTCTGCTTCATTTTGACAAAACGTCCCTGTTTATATTTCAAGCCTACTTATTAAAACACATATGTGCTTCTTGGACTGATTACAAAAGCGACTGCTTGACAATCTTCATTACAGACACTTTATGAACTTCAACAATAACAAATTGAAGGCTTCTTCAAGTAGGCAGTCATTTCACAATACTTTCTTTACCTGAGAGCTTTGACCATTTATATTGCTTGGTCTTTTCTCTGTCTCCTCTTATGCTTCTTCTGCCAGTTTTTCGTATTTGTTAAACTTTCTCTTCTAGTTAGAATATTTTTTGAGCTTGGAAACTTTCCAGGTGGAAAAAAAGGCTTTCTGTGAGCTTTGATAAATTGTTTTATTAATACTGAAAATGTACTAATTCCAGTTCTAAATGCAGGAACTCTGTGATTTTGTTTATTTGTTTACTTGCTGTGTTTTTACATCCTTATAAATTATGCTGCACAGGTTTTTTTCATTTTTTACACAGTTTCAGCCTAATACAGGAAGTCTTTATGGATTTCATCTATATCATTAGAAAATACTGGAGGTGAGAACATCTGGAAATAAACTGTATGACCCACTTTAGCATACTTTGCACTGTAAAAGCTTGTATATTATTTCAATGGCCCCTGGAGCTGCTGTTCTGGACAGTTTTGCTCAGCCTGCACCTCAAAACAACTCACCTCTTCTATCCCTTGCTCCCCCAAAATAAACTCGAAACGTTGAAGATGTGAGGGAGGATTGTGGGCATATTAATGCATAGACTACATTTGGTTAAAGATTACTTTTTGCAGTATTGCCTGTATTCTTCCATTTCAAGTCTCCCAGGGCAACCATGAAGAAATTGCTTCCTTGTCCCACCAGGAGAGTCACAATGGCCAGTATCTTGCTTGTTCTTGCTGTGTGGTGCTTTAAAGGCATCTGTAGTGAATCATTCATTGGTGCAGCAGTTTGCACATGGCTTAGTGAATGAAGCAGTGAGCTAATGAATGAACATTCCTACTTAAAACAGACATATATATCTTTCAAGTTGTATTCCTTCATCTCGGTGGCATACCTCAGCCCATTGGTTCAGTCCAAAGTAAATCCATAACATGTCATAGCTGGACAGACCTCTGATGAGTTTCTTTTCAACAAGTTAGCATACTGTTAAGCCATTATTTTCAAAGTCTCTAGTACAGAAGTCCCTTGTTGAACAACTTTGCTTTATTTGGCCAACTGTGTGAAGGCACGTTTGAGTGGTATTTTAAATTCCCAATTCATGAATAATATTCCAACACAAATGCAAATCTTTGTAAGCCTTGAACTACTGCTGTGCATTCTAATAACATATGGAAGGTAATATTGTGTCCGTTCTTAATTACTTAATTAAAATAATTTCTGCAACAATTTATATAGCTATGTATAGTTGTTTGGGGTGCTTTTTTAGAAATTTGTGTTTTCAGAATAAGTCACAGGAAGGGATTTTTACTGACTTGTCAATAGTGGTGAGTGTGAAAGCAGTAACTTCAGTAACAAGACGCTACATTCATTCCCAGTTGGACAGAGTCTTGAAGAGGACAGTGAGGCGGTGGTGGGACCTGTCTGGGGATCTCCTGGCCCTGCTCTGGAGAGGAAACCAAGGAGAGTGTTGGCTGGCTCGCTGAGCCTCCTGGCTGGATCTAACCTGTCACATTTCTAAAACACCCAAGCAACTGCGGGTGTCTTTTAGAGGAAGTAATTGCTGTTAGCATTCTTTTCCTATTGCTTTCTGACCATCTCAATACTTTCTTAAGGTGTTGCCTTAGCAGGAATGTGAACTGTATGTAGGCCTGAAGAAAATTAACAGTGACTCAGAAAATGAAATTTATCTGGAAAAACCGCATTCCTCAGGAATACAGTATCATGGAGACTTGATTATTTCTTCTTGTGGAAGGGGCCAAGGTGTTTTATGATAGCATACAGTTGTAGCTGAGATTGGCCTGTAGCCCAATCAACTAGTCATTCTTTTCTGGTATATTTCTGTATCGGACTTGTGCTGAAATGCCCACAGGAGATTTGGGTAACTCTCTACAAATGCTTTTGCAGGTAGTGAGTGTTAATATAATTTAAAAAATCTGTTGTTTTCCCACCCCTCTCCTTCTCTTCACCTCTCTTTGTGAAAAAGGTAAATCATTCAGGGGTTGCTTTCAGCGTATACCAGTTTGTTGAATTTACAGGAAGGGCTGCAGTTCCTCTGTGCACATGATGCTTTCTAATACATCACAGATTTCTAAAAAAAAAACAACTATAAAGAACTTATATGAAACAAACAAACAAAAAATACTTTCCTCTCAAAATATCCACATAGAAAAATGCTATGTAGCTAAGCATGCTAGTACAACTCCACCAGAAACTTGTGGACCAGATTATGCTCACTGAATTTTGGATATTCTTTTAAAAAATGAGGGCATAAGGCTCCTTCTTTCTTCTACCAGCAGAAGTTGAAAAACCTAGACATATTTAGCTGTCAGCTGCCTAAGGAAATGTCACTTACCAATGTTTAGGATGATAGATTGCATCCTTTAGAAGTGCCATTCTCTCTCCTTCCTCTCTAAGGAGATCCATTCTCAATTTTTTTACCCTTAAAACCTAAAAGAATCATAACAAAAGCTTCTCACTTAATTCATCACTTCCACTTCCTCCATTTTGGGAGCATTTACATAACATAAAATGTGGTGCTTGTGGCACTCTGCTATTTCCCTGCATATGAGTTTAGAATCCGCTACACTGGTCAGACAAGCAGAACCACTTTATAAAAAAATTTTTAAAATAGAATCCTGTCTCAACTGCTCTTAGAAATACCTGTGTGAAAAGAGTTTCTCCCTTTCTCCCACACTTAAAATTATTCCTAAAGTGATGAAAATGCTTTTGGATTATTGGCATTCAAAGGTAAATAAGACCAGAAAAATCAGAAGTCTAAGTGACCAACCTCCTATAATCTCACATCAAAAGGTTTGAAATATTCAAGACTATTCATGAATACATAAATTAATATTGGGAATCATGTAATGCCCAAGATTGCCAGGATAGTGGTGAAAACAGCCCAAGCCCATCCTGACCAGCTCTGACCCATGGAAATAAAGCCTGAGAATTGAGGTTCCTCCTGGGAAGCTCTCCCCAGTGTCCTGTACTGCTGGGGGCAGTTCCTTGTCTGGGTTAGAGCACCAGCCCCTGGGGTATTCCTTGCTATGTGCAGTGTCAGTATTTGGAAGCTGAGCATTTCAAGGCCTTCAGTCTTGCAGCACTGCTCTCTCCTCTGCAATGGCAGCTAGACTCAGTGTGGACAAGACTCAATGCATATACACTTCTTTTTAGTTCTCATCCAGAATAAGAAATAGGCCTTTGAGCCATCTGAGCTGGGTCAGAGTAGCTCTGGAGGTGCGTCATTATGGAAAGGAGCTCACATTCCTTCTGGATTTAAAGCAGCTAGACAAGTGATACAGACCACAGAATATTTAGAATTACAATTTATTTTTCTAATTTAGAAAGGGACCCACAAGGACCATCAAGTCCAGCTCTTCTGTGAATGACCCATATAGGGATTGCATTTACAACCTTGGATTTATAAGCACCATGCTCTAAGAAATTGAGCTAATCCCTACTCTACCATATCAGTGTTCACCTGTGATATGCCTGGACTAATTATTTAACTCTGCCTGAGAGATATCCAGTACCATTTCTGCCCTGAGAGAAAGAGTACTGGGTCCTAGCAGAGATTCTGCAGGCTGATAGCACACCACTGCAAATGGACAGCAAGAGACAAAAGTTCAAGAAGAAAAGAAGGAAAAGGAACAAATGAACACATTTGGTATTTTGAGAAAAATGCTCGGACTTCAACAGTGTGGCTCAGTGGCTCTTTCATTCACAGTGTTGTCTCATGTTTAATAGTCACTGGTTATAGACATGAGTTTAGCTGGTGACTGACAAACTTCTATCATCTAACAGCTTCTGTTGTTCCATTTGTATGAAGATCTACCAGTCCCGAGTCATTTGGTAGCTGGTACCTACTCCCTTTATTTGATTCTCACTAGTTCCTAAACTGGAGGAGAAAATGTCATTCTTTATTTACCCTTATCATGGCACTCATCATTCCATAGACATTTATTATACTGCTTTGCTCTGGAACCTCCTTTAAGTTTTAAAATTATCCATTTAACTGTCCTGTCTCTTCAACTAATTAAGACCTGAAGACCTTGTCTCTTATCAAAAGCTGTTTAGGGTTTTTTAAGAGGTTTAGTGAAAGGTCTTCTAAAGAAACAAAGCCTATTTTTTTCCTTATATTAAAGGAATCCCCTCTATCATTTCAGTTTATTTACACCAACTTTAGTGTTTATTTTAGCTTTCACTAATTTTCTTTAAAACCAATGTATTGACTTACATAGATCCATAGGTCTCATATTTCTGGGTATTTGGTAACAGTTTATCTGCCTTGCTGTCCATCAATACAAAATAATTTTTTAAGAGGAGGCACTGAACTGGGCTAATACAGGTTTATGTCCTATTAACATGAAGAAAAGGGAATTGAACACACTTCTCACCTGGCATGAGTTGCAGCCCTGATTCTGTATAAGAGTGTGGGTCCACCTTCAGTTTTTTGAATTGTACCTTTTTTCTTTAGCTTTCTTTTACATATTCATGAAAACATGCTATTATTTTTCTTTGTACATCACTTTGCATTTAAAAAAAAATATTTTGATTCAAATAGAATAAATTGTGTTCTTCAGGTGTGGGGGAATTTTCTCCTTTGTCTTGAAAAAATAAAATCCCTATTTACACAGAGTAGATACTTTTCAGGAAACAGCTTATGATATTTTATTTTGTTCTGAATATATATTTGACATTTTTTCTAAACTCAATACAGTGTCTCAGTTCATACATCTGTGAGATCAGAAATGCACTGTTCCAAAGCACTGGGTAGGAAATGTATAAAAAAATGCAGGTGTCTGAGCAACGGTTTGACAAGCAGAGAGACAAAAGGAACACAGGGAAAGGAGCAGTGTCAGAGAAGTGTGAAGACAAAGGGTCTGGAGGCAAGGTTCGTGCTCAGTGTCATAGGGGAAATAGAAACTCTGCTGGTGTCAGCTTTCTCTCTATAATGCATCTCTGTCTCAATTCATGCTAAATAGATTGGCATGTACTGCTGACAGCCTATTATTTTACAAGCCATGTGTTTTTTAAATATATATATATATATATATAGATAATAGTACACTTCAGTCCCTTAGCTAGATTATCAATAGGGCATAATGACAAGCTACATATTTATAGATTTGGTTTATAAACACTGTTGGTGTAACAGTGAGAGAAGTGTTTTCTTTTCTGAGGGCTCTGGTGATTCCTCTAATGGAGTGGAGAGAACTGGTGTCTTAGTTGTCCTCTCCTTCAGCTCCCAAGAACTGTTTGGAGATTGAGTCACAGGAGCTCAGAGAATGGCTCAATCTTATGCAAAGCAGGCATTTGCAATCAGGCAGATGAGCTGTTCTTGCAAGTACTTGCTTCTTCCAACCATAAGTTTTCATTTTGTCTTTAGGCTACAAATGGTTTAAGTTACACAGGTGAATCTCAGTTCAGGATGCTGAATCTTTTTACCACTAATGCTGCTGTATTACTTAGCCAGCACAACAACATCCAGTTCTGCTTCTGGAAACAGAAATATTTCAGGGTAAAATTAATGAAATTTTATTTACAGTTTTCCTAGCTTCTGTAATATTGTTTTAATTAGTTTTAAGACAGAAGGTTGGCAAGCTTTGTATCTAGCCTCTGTAACAGTGGTTAGCAGGAGAGGACAACAGCAAAACTGGTCCATCCAACTTGTCATATGTAACTTCTCTCTTTCAAACACCATTGTACACCACTCCCCCAGCATATCAAGAGTGGCACATCAGAAATACCCACCTATGAGGGCAGGTGTAGCTAACAGGTGTCATCTGAGACTTGGTTGTGCTGGGTCATATACTTCACTATATGAAGGAGATACTACTAATAGTGTGTGCACGTGTGCATTTTCTGCCATAAAGGGCAGTTTGCCAACCTCTAGACCTTGCTTAAGATTTTATCTTTCTGCCCCACAATGTTTTTTCCCACTGTAAATTCTTTGTACTGCTTCAGAAACACCTCCCCATCTGCAGCCAGGTGAGTGGGCAGAGGGGCAGGCAGCAGCTGCAGAAGTCACCTGTTGAACAGTGATCACTGTTTCAGCCCTTTGGACAGACTGCTGCAGGAGCAAAGTTCCCTCAGGGCTGAGGTTCAGTGCAGCTGGTGTGACAGGACCTTGCCCTACCAGTCTGCATGCCCTTGGTTTTTTAAATAGATTTATATCAAATGAATATAAATCCTGATCTGTGGAGCCTGGATACAGTTTCAGTGGTTTTTTTTTTTTTTTCTTAAACTAATTAATGAGGGCTGTACTGAAATCAATGTGGTTTTAGCAAAACTCAGAATGTATCCAAAAAACTGTTTTCTCTTAGTTTGGTTTAAAAACAGTTTAATTAAATAAATTCACATTTACACCTCATAAAGGCAAGCTATATCTTCTATGTTTTATAAAAATAAATTCATGTCTTAAGGTTATGACAATAATATTAAAAATACAATTTATGGTTAAAGTTTACCAATGTGTAAACTCCAGATGTTGAGAAATGGTGAAAACTTTGTATGCCAAGGCCTCAAGGATACCTTCATTCCATGTCTGCTCTTTTTGACCATACTTTTTTTTCCAAGATGCAGTATAATTCCACATTTTAGCCAAAGACTCCAGCCTCATGCTATATAGGCTGTCAGTTGATTCTTTGTCTCCCTGCTTTTCTGCAGCATGCCAACACTGTCTCTTGCTCTCCAGCTTTCTTTTGGAGAGCAATTTAATTGCATTTGAATGCCTGGTCCCTGGACAGCTCTGTGGAGCCAGGTAGCTGAAGATCAGGAAGCCAGTCTTTGGAGTCCAAGACTGCAGCTGGAAGCTGCTGGAACAGACTAAATGAATAGGAGCTGTTAAAAAATTGAGCAGAGGCTGATACACACGTGCAGTAAAAGATTGTCTTCAAATTCTCCCTCCTGTAGCAGGAAGTAAGTGTAACCCTTGCTTTCTGGAAAATCTCATGAGACCCCAGATCTACAGGGACTTTTTTTTTTTTTTAATTAAAAATAAAATATAGTTGCTTGTGGCATCTGAGTGCTCCCCCATACAAGACAGTATGTGGGGCTCCTTTGCAGTTTTTCTTTTGCTCCTACTGAAATCAGCAGGAAATCACAGTTGACTCGGGTGGAAACAGAATCTACACAAAGTTCAACAAGCTTTTCAGCTGAAAGCTCACAAGGATTTTATCACTGGTCAAAGCCTCCTTCCTGTCCTCTGCAGAATTTTCTATTAACCATAAAATCTGTATTTTGCCACACTATCGTATGTTCACAGAAATATTAGAACTGCCATACCTAATCAAACCAGTGGTCCATCTAGGCTAGTACCCTTGGCTCCAGATGCCCCAGAGGGCAGGAAAATTCATAATATCATTCCCAGGGGAAGTATCTTCCTAATCTTTGGCAGTTTTTGACTAGCTATTGCCCTGACCGTGAGTGTTCATAATCATTATACACTCTTATCCTATCTAAGGGTTATCTATCATGTATGTTCTATTGTTTTAACTATTCCCTACAGGATTAGGCATAGAGGTCACAATAGGACAGAGTTCACGAGTCACAGTAGATCAAAAGCCATAGCGTGTCAAAAGTTGTAATATAATTCATACTCATGTATACAGCACATACATAAAGTGATAGTTCATGCTAAGGCATTGCCTCACATTGCTCTTACGGCTACAGCTCCCCTAAGAGTGTTATAATATGCTATTGACTTTCTTGTGGATTCATCGTGCTGTGAATTATTTCTGGCCAGTGGAATGCATGGAGTTACCTTTTGGGTATTACTTAAGCAGGCGTCTTGTGATTGTGCCAGAGATCTTTTTTGCAGGAGTCAAGGTGTGTATTGTTTCCCTAGATTTTTATTATTTTTTAAAGGGCAAAAAAAATAGGAAGGGGAAGAAACTGAAGATTTACACTTTGGCTTAAAGATATACGGGGTATATGAAAACAGCTATTTTTTTTCACTCCCATAAAAGAACTGATCCCATGGTCTCAGCAGGAATATGTATGTGAAACCATATTCAATAAACCTCAGGTGTCACAATTTTTCTGTTTTCTTTTAAACTGTAGACAACTGCCACCTATAATTTTGTCTCCATCATTCAATCTTTTTAATTTCCTACATGTAGGTATTTACTTTTCCTCCCGTCATTCTTTGTTCTGTTCATCTTGGAATAAAAAAGAGATAAGAAATGAAACAAAAAACACTGTAAATTATCATCTTTCTAAGGACGCTTTACTCTTTCTAACAGTTTGACTTTTCACCTTTTGGGTGCTTAGTGGAAAAGCCATTACTTGCTTGCTGAGGAAAAAGCATTTAATGAATCACAAAATCATTCAATTATTCTTAAAAACACTTCACATCACACATCTTTTTCCAAGTAAAGTGTGCATTTTTCACATTTAAATGGTGCATAACTGCCTCGTAGAATGTGTCCCTTGAGTTAGAGACATTTTAACAGAAAGGTTCCAGGAGTGTACAGAGAAGTTTGATATATATAAGCATTAAAAACCTTGCATTAAAGATGCAGAATTTCCTCTTCTCTCTTCACTGTCTTTCAACAACATTTATGCAAAGTTGCCTTTCTGCTGTTGAGAATTGTCTAGTTTTGTGCGGAGCTGAGATCCACATGCTTTGCTTACTTCGGCTTGCTGCAGTACCACACGATAAAAACAAACTAATAGTAAAGCTAATATGGGCCAGCACAGCATTTAGAATGTTTGGGGCTTTTTTTTAAATAAAATGACATTTTCTGTAGGAAGGGTAGTAAGATATTTTTTTAGAAAAGTATATTGTTTACAATCATTTAGTCTGATGCTGGTTTCTCCCCTCTTTTTCTCTGCTTTTAGAAGAGAAGTGCTTTCTGCAGACTGCAGTAGCTGCCATTTCCTACACAACGTTTTCTTTATAGTTTTTTTTCCCCTTTGAGGGTATTTTTTTTTTTTTATGGACTTATATTGTAAAACTTTCTTTTCTGTATTTTATGAAAACGTATGTTCTTCGCCCAAAAGAATCAGGTGGCTGACTAGGTTTGCAAAACCAGCTTGAAGGTTGCACTTTTGCCAGGGCAAATGGGATCAGCCTGTTTATTTGAATGCTGGTATATAAGTCGTACCAGCTAAGGAGCTGGCCATGAATTTGTAAACTTTCCTGCGCTTTTATATCCCTGTACTTTAAACAAGTAATTTTTTCCATAGCAATAATTTTTTCCTTTTCTTTTTTTCTTTTTAAATTTAATAGGAAAGAGTGATATTTATACGGCAGCTTTAGGCTAACTTAGGTATCTAACTTAAGCAGAGTTTTAAGAACTAAACCTAGGTGTTTGTACTGCCCTGCATAGCTGGCAGGGAGACAGAGGTGCCGGGGGGCTGTAGGCGAGGGGGGAACTGCTGCAATTCAAAGGACCTAAATCAGATGCCTGAAGTAGACAGTGTGAGTAACCCTCTAGATGACTGGAATTATTAGACCACATTAGAGAGAGAGGAAAAAAAGTGAGGCTGGCATATGGTGAGTGTCCTACATATGGTATGTTGTTTATATGTGTTTTTTCCGTTAGCATTTCTCTTTCCTTTGTTGCTCCACCTCCTCC